CTCTTTCGCTCATTCACCGTATACAAACAGCGCCACCAATCCCTTGTGAATGTCACCAAGTTGATCCCTTTTCGATTTCTCTTTTCTGAGTTTTTCTTATTTATTGGAGGTTGATTTTGGGTTGCGAAGAACTCACCCTCTCTTGTGGTCCATGATCGTTGCGAAGTCAGATCCATGTTCTTCATCGACGTACGTTCTCACTTTTGTGATCGAATGCTCTTTTCTTTTCTCTTTCGGTTAATTTTTTGAATCGGTTATGGAATTGATTTGGGTTTTGTATTCTGGGTTCTGGGTTTAGGATCTGTGGGAACTGTTTTCTGTGTACTGGTTCGGATCGGGAAGAGATTCTCTCTCAGGTACTTCTTTAATCGAGAAAACATTATCGGTCGTTTATTTTAGCCGTAGTTTTTTCAGATTGGTTCCTTGTTTCATCTCGATTCTTCGATCTTCATGTGCTTTGGAATTCGGATAAGTAAGCTTGTTACACTTCTGGAAATTGCTATCTGATGCATAACTCCCTGTATTCTTGCGCTCTCTGATCCGATTTAACTGACAAATCTCCCACTGAAGTGGTGAAATCGAATGGGAATCGGCCTCGATTGCCAGGATTTCAAGCATATGTTTCAATTGATTGGTATCGAATTCCGAATTCACATGTGTTCTGAAATGCTTTGTTCTTTGCTTTGGCACCAAAAACACAGAACCTATTTCGCAGATAATTCCCGAGTCAATGATGGCTCCTTCAACCAACATTCTTTGCAACACCGGCGAGGCAGATTTCTGTCGGGATGACTCTGCTGCTTTTCTACTTAAACTGATCGCCATTGCTTCGATTCTATTAGCCGGGGCTGCAGGTGTAGCCATTCCGCTTATTGGCCGGAACCGTCGGTTCCTTCAGACAGACGGAAGCCTCTTTGTCGCTGCCAAAGCTTTCGCTGCTGGTGTCATCCTCGCCACCGGATTTGTCCACATGTTGGCCGGCGGCACTGAAGCCCTCTCGAACCCGTGCCTTCCGGATAACCCCTGGTCCAAGTTTCCTTTCCCGGGGTTCTTTGCAATGATGGCTGCTTTGGTCACTCTGCTTGTCGATTTCGTTGGGACACAGTACTATGAGAGGAAGCAAGAGAGGGAGGCCGAGGAGGCGGGCGAGGCTTCTGAGCAAAGTGGTGAACAACAACCAGCTGTTGTTCCTGTGGGCGTGGAAGGCATAAATGGGAAAGTGTTTGGTGAGGAAGAAGGCGGTGGGATTCACATTGTAGGCATCCATGCTCATGCAGCTCACCATAGACACACTCACTCGCATGGCCATGGTGGATGTGACGGCCATCAGAAAATAGCTGTCGGCCATGCTCATGGACACGGACACGAACACGGGCACATCAGCTTGGATATCGGGAATGGAGCTAGGCATGTTGTTGTTTCTCAGGTAACTGTTTCTATCCCCTTTTCCGGGTATAGTTTGATTTGTTTATCAAGTAAAACTCAGATTCTGTAGAGCAAGTTCCGAAAATGGGGTCTGATCTTGAATCTTGATTTGCACGAGGTAGATTTTGGAGCTCGGGATCGTGTCACACTCGATAATCATCGGGCTATCCCTGGGAGTATCTCAGTCTCCATGCACTATCTGGCCACTAATCGCAGCACTTTCCTTCCATCAGTTCTTCGAGGGCTTTGCTCTCGGTGGCTGCATCTCGCAAGCACAGTTCAGGAACAAGTCCGCAGCCATAATGGCTTTCTTCTTTGCGCTGACCACACCGATAGGTATAGGGGTTGGGACCGCGGTTTCGTCTTCCTTCAACACTCACAGCCCCACGGCTCTGGTCACTGAGGGGATCTTGGATTCTCTCTCGGCCGGCATTCTCATCTACATGGCTCTCGTCGATCTCATCGCCGCTGATTTCTTGAGTAAGAAGATGAGTTGTAATGTTAGGCTTCAAGTCGTGTCTTATGTCATGTTGTTCCTCGGAGCCGGACTTATGTCCTCCCTCGCCATCTGGGCCTAGTTGTAAGTTTTTATAGTTTCCGGGTCCTTATGTGATGTTTTTGTTTTATAGGGTTCGTTGGTTAAGCTTTTTTTTCTTCTTCTTATTTATTGCAGTATATATATAATATTTATTTGTAGGAAGAATATTCCGCAAATATTAGCTTATGAATCAGCAGTTTTCTTACATCTGCACAACAGAATAGCTTTCATCTTTTCTCATAGATCATAATTTTACACATAAGAAATTTGTTCATCAATTTTAATTTTTAAATTTTATCTCGAAAAATTATGGGTATTCGATGTATTAATTGTAGTTTTAATTTAAACCCTCTTTAATATTAGAACCTAAGAGTACACATATATCGGAATTCATCTTTAATCTCTTTTACCTCGGCCTTGTTTGGATCCGATTCTTTAATTAAAAGTATATAATTTGTTAAAATGTTCGCTTTTTCATTCGATTTAATTTTAAAAAATTAGATTCATTTCGTCTGATTTTGATATAGAACTGAACTTCATTGGAAGCCTGGTAGACTCACCAGAGTTGTGAAAATGTATTTTTAGTTTTCTTTTCTTTTTATTTTGGGAAAAAATTGTCTAACTACAACTTTTTTTTTTCAAAATTCACGAGAGAATTTCCTCCACTTCTTTCAAGTGCTATTTATTTTATGGCGACAATATATATATATATATATATTTTTGATATTGATGATTTGGCCAAGGTTCGAACGCGTGACCGTGGGTAGGGCTGGACGTTTCGGTTCGGTTCTTCAGAACCGGACCGAACCGAACCGTTAAAACGGTATTTTTCTCGATCCGAAACCGCTGTTATTTCCCGAACGGTACCATTGTTAGACAGTCGAATTTTTCCAGAACCGAACCGAACTTTAAAAATCCCGAAAAACCAAATATTTCTAAAGAAAATCTATCATTTTTTTAATAAAACCCGGAACCGAACCGAACCGATACTGAAACCGAACCGAACCGAATATAATAAAAAACCCGATTGGTACCTATTTTTGTAAAACCGAAAGAATCAAACCGATTCATTCCGTCTCAAACCCGAACCGTTTCCCGAAACGCCCACCTCTAACCGTGGAACTTTTAATTACCCCATTCTACCACTTGTTCATGGTGACAATATTCTTTATACATATAGAGTACACATTTCACTTATATGCCAAAATGACATATGATACGATGTCGTTTTGCAGATTTGAACTTGGCCTCTCATTAGCACCACGCTCATCACCCCTTGCCCCGATGATGGGTGGTCGACGACGTTACCATTGTCCCTATTTCGGGTTTATTTGTAACTTTCAGAAATATTGGGAAATTACTGCAATTGATATAAAAATAAAGGGGGGTTAGGTGCAATTTCTCCCCGCATATAGTTTCTCTTCGTCCTGGAAAATTTTTTCCATTTTCGTTTTCTCAGCCCCTCTAGGAAGTTTGAGACTAGAGAAAGAGGGAGGGAGAGAGAGAGAGGTTGATGAAGATCATCGTCTGATCGTAGTTTATTTCCCGGTGAGTTCCCTGTCTCTCTAGGTTTTTCTCGGTCCGATTCGTTATTACGTGAGTAAGATGGAGTTAAATTTGATCTTGGTTGGGCGCTTTATCGAAAATTTGAATTTCTTAGTCTGTTTGGTTGCCGTGAAAATTTGCGGAGAAAGCGGAAAGAAAATTTTCTCATCTAATCAGTCAGAGCTTCTTCCTTTGAGGGTTTTTTTTATAAATAATTTTTTTTACTTTCCTCTTACTTTTCCCACTCGTGTAAGAAACCTACCTACAAAAGACTCAAACAAATCGAAATAATTGAAATTATTCTGTTGAAAAAAAAAATAGAATCAATCCTGAAATTGAATTTGGAGTTCTTCCTCTCAGATTTAACCATTCTTGGGGTTGCTTTGCGTCTTCACGGGCTTGTCCAGTCCGGTCCAGTTTCTGTCGGATTTGGATCTCTTCGATTTTTTTTTTTACATTAAAATATTGATTTCAATCACTTTCCACGAGGAGATTTCGAATTGCTTCTTTTGGGCTCCAAGAACATGGAACTTTCGTAGCTGTATATCTATCCTCAATTGCGAAAGCAACCGTTCCGACATTTCAATCTCGGAGCTTTCTGCAACACTTTTGATCTAGAAATTGGTCTGTATCTGACCCAGGATCTGCTTCTTCTTCTTCTTCTTCTTCTTTTTTTCCATTTCCCAGATTTTCCAGGTGTTTCGGGCAAACTTTACGGGCTTCTCGATTAATTTTACGGCTCTGAGATCTGTTTTCTCACCGGAGTTTGATTCGTCGCTAGTTGCAAGGAGAAGAGGTTGTCTGAGAAAGGTGAACATGTGATGGATCTTCTCTGTCTATGAAAATTTTGATATTTTTTTCCCTCTTTTCGTGAGCTGAACTTATGCTTTACCTTTGGAAAACGTAGTAGTACCCTGGACACAGTTTTTTTTTTTCTGCAGTAATTATTTGATCTGTGAAGTTTTATGTGAAAGCATTGTTTTAAGTTGGATGTTTAATTGATACCTTTACTAATGAGTTTTGAAGGTTGGTACGGGAACATATCTGTGCATTATGTAATGACAGATGCACACTTTTAAGTGAAAGAAAATGATTTGCTCAGTGAATTTTCTGGGTTTATGCACTTTGCTGTTAATCCCTTGATTTTGAGGAAAACAGTTTTTCTACTCTAACATAAGCTATTACAAATTGGTGTAATAGGCTCTCCTTTCTGCGGAAATGGAGGACGTTGACGATTCTTCTCCTCGGGATTTAGATGCGCAGAACCCTTATGATCGGCTGCTTGCTGTAGATACAAGTTCGGTAGATCCAAATTGTAATTTGGATTCGGTTTCTGCCATTTATTTAGCGATGAAGAGCTCTAAGCTGGAGTGTGTTGATGAGCGTGGTCAAGATTCCATTATAGCCTCGGTATGCATGGACGACGACGAGGATGAAGAACTGGATGAGTTTGATCCGTATCTGTTTATAAAGAACTTGCCGGATTTGTCTTCTGTTGTGCCGACTTTCAGGCCTGTGTTGCTTCCCAAACAAACCCGTAGCTGCCCTCCTATTTCTCTTGTCCTAGACCTCGATGGTAAGTAAGGCTACCACCTACACTTTTTTACTTGATATGATTGTTGTTTATTTACCTTTCTTTCAGGTTTTAATCAAATATCTGTCTGTGGCCTCTGTCTCCTCTATCTTATATATTTTGCGAGCACATATTCATACACAAATGCATAAAGATGCAACATATATGGTTAATAGAAATATATAGTTGTAAATATATGGTTAGTATAAATCTATGCTGTATATGTTTGCAACTCCCATATTCATACACATACACACACACGCAGCTGTTTGTTTTCCAAATATACATATTGTCTTATACATTCACATGGATACAAAAATAACATGGGGGTATGGGTGCGTAGACCCACATATGCATACAATATATGTAACATATATACACTATCTCTCTGTCTATGTATCTGCATATCCTTTGTAACATAGGGTTAAATTTTTTCCAGAAACATGTTCACGTACATACATGTAAACATCCATGTATTGATTAAAAGTTAAAACCGAAATGCTACATTTCCTCCTTGAGTTTTGTGTTTCTTCATCTTCACAGAGAAATGGTAGTCGCATGTCCTTAATGCACATAAATATGTTTATAGTTAGAGATATATGTAATACACTTTCATGTAATACACATTTGGATGTGTATGTATTGTATTTACATGCTATATATTTATAGATTTATGTAGTGTGATTTTGGACTTGTGCTTACATGGACACATTTACTGCTGTCCACCTGTCAGATTTGAGGAAATGAAGGAACATAGTGGTGTGCCTTTCTGTTACCGGATAACCCGCACATTGGATTTCTATTTTTAGTATCATGCTGCTCCATAGGTGCTTGTGTTTTTTATTCTCCTACTCATCCTACCTTATATATACATATACACATACTTGTATTGACAGAAACTCTGGTACATTCAACTCTGGAGCAATGTGATGATGCGGACTTCACATTCCCAGTTAGTTTTAATGAAGAAGAACACATTGTCTATGTCCGTTGCCGCCCCCACCTTAAAGAGTTTATGGAGAGAGTTTCCCGTCTTTTTGAGATCATTATATTTACGGCTAGCCAAAGTATTTATGCAGAACAACTTCTCAACGTACTTGACCCTAAGAGGAAGTTATTTCGACATCGGGTCTACCGTGACTCTTGTGTTTTCTTCGACGGCAACTATCTGAAGGACTTGTCAGTTCTTGGGCGTGATTTATCTCGGGTTATCATCGTTGACAATTCCCCACAGGTATTACTCATCATTTACTCTATTACGTGTTTAACATGTGGGACTTTTGTCCTTGTGCTTCAACCAAAGATTAATGGCAGAATCTTTTATCAGTATCAAGTGTAGGACACTGTTCTAGCATAGATAGATATGCATACAGGGACTTACGCATATGACTGCATACCTCTGAAGAAGCATGGTTATGAGCAGATTTCGTAGAAGCTCTTGGTTTGAGATCGTGTTAGGTTGATCAAGAGAAACATGTTCGATTGTACTTCTAATTAGTACGAGGAATTCTCCATCATATGATGAATCTTTTTTCACGGGTTCTTATTGTTTTAGGCATTTGGATTCCAAGTGGACAATGGAGTGCCTATAGAGAGCTGGTTCAACGATCCTTCAGACAAAGAACTACTAATGCTACTGCCGTTTTTGGAGAGCTTGATAGGAATTGAAGACGTAAGACCGATGATTGCCAAGAAATTCAATCTCCGGGAAAAGATAGCTGCGGCTGCTGCAGCGCCCATTTATCCTCCGCTGATCGATGAAGACACGGGAGATCCCTTTGAAAGGTGAAGCCTTTTTTTGTTTGTTTGTTTTGTTTGAAGCTTAAAGCTTTAGGCAGGATCTGTATAACATGTGTTGTCTGGAAGAACACGACCTGTTTCGGGGGAGTGTTAGGAGTTGTGTTTGGAATCATCTAGAAGGAAAAAAAAAAGGCCCATCCTCTTTTAGGGTTCCAAATGATGAATCGAATGTGGGGGAAATGTTTATGTTCTGTCGTTTGTAGTTGGAAGAACCTTTTGGTATACAGAGAGGGAGAAAAGATGATGGATGATGTTATGTAACAACGGTCATCTGCTGAATAAGTGTCGCTTTTCTTTCGTCTCTGGTACTTTATTTTATAACCTTTCTGAGATATTTTATTTAAAGCAGACAAAATCTATTGTTTGAAATATGTTTCAAAGAGTTTAATATATATATAAACTCTTTGACCATTAATAATCTTTTATTATCAATAATAATTACTAGGACAATTTTTTACAATTCTTGACAAAAAAATAAAGACAAAAGATAAATGCACCAACCGATCGGTCGATACGTAGAATACCTTCAGGCAAAAGGAATCAAGCTACTGGTGACCACCGGGTTCCAGTCGTCCAGACCCTGAATACGATTTCGCCAACCACTGCAGCACCCTTGTCGTTGGGGCACCCAACCACAATGTCCAAAATATGGAGGTTGAAAAATCTCGCACATCACAATGCTTGACAGAGCCACAATGTTCAAAATATGGAAGTTGAAAAATCTCGGACATCACAATGCTTGATAGAAGCAGGAAGAAAGATGTAGCAAACCAGGGATGTGATTGCGATACCCTGTTGATACGTGATCGAGAATTCGAGCAAAAGAGAATGAAAGGAAGGGAATTGATCGACACACGCGAGTTTACGAGTTCAGATCAATGTGATCCTACGTCTCGGCCGAGAGAGTCTCGACAATCCACTATCATTGCGTCATTCTTAGATCCTTTAGAAGTCTCACACAGAGAAAACGTGAGATCAATCTGTTTACAAGAGAAAGAAAAATGAATCTTTGTATTCCGCCATTGAAGAGTCTATGTTTTTATCTTCGCTTTACCTGTGCAACGGAAATAACGGCCACTAAACCGAGAACGGTTCGACCCAGAAATTAAACCAGATCACCCAACTTAATTGAAGACTTAGACCGCCATAATCAACCCAGTTTACTCCAATTCACTTAACCCATCCTGTACCAGCAGAAATCGACTTTGTTTCAGCTGAAATTGATCTTCTCAGGTGCCAAATCTCAACAATCTAAGTGTCTGTAGAAGATCCTTAATTACTTTGTTTCTTTGTGGATTGCTCATTGATCTCTCTCGGTAATTCACCGATTACTTGGTGATATTCTGTAAGCTTAGGAGATATCTGAACTTACCTATAGGAAGTGCTTTCGTCAGCATATCAGTAACATTGTCCTCAGTTCGAACTTTCAGAACCCGTACCTGATTTTTTGTCACCATATCTCTTAGAAAGTGTAATCGAACGTCGATGTGTTTTGTACGTTTGTGATGAACGTTATTCTTGGCCAAACAAATCGCACTTTGCGAATCACAGTGAATGTCTACTGTTTCTTGCTGAAAAGCAAGTTCATTCACCAAACCCTTCAGCCACAGTGCTTTCTTGAATCATTCTGCAAGCGCCATATATTCTGCATCGGTTGTGGAAAGTACCACAACGTGCTGTAATCTCGATCTCCACCTTATCACATTATCTCCAATAGTGAATATGTAACCTATTATCGAACGTCTCTTATCCAAATCCGTAGCATAATCAACATCACAAAAGCCTTATACCTATAAATCACCTCTTCGAGTGTACCTCAACTTCAGACCTACACTGCCGCTGATGTATCTCATGATCCATTTAACTGCCAACCAATGCTCACTTCCAGGTTTGCTCATGTATCTACTCACTAATCTGACACTATAAGCCAAATCATGACATGTTCCAATCATAGCGTACATCAGGCTCCCTAATAGAATCCAAATCTAAACCTTCCTCTTCTGACCCTAAACATATGACTTTGAAATGTGATCTCATTGTTGTATTTACTACTTTTGAATCTGACATTCCAAACGTGCTTAACACCTTCTCTAGATAGTCTGTTTGTGACAACGTTAATCAACCTTGTTTCATATCTTGACTGATATCCATGCCAAGAATCCTTCTTGCATCCCCTAAATCTTTCATCTCGAATTGCTTATTCAGTAACTTCTTTAGTTTCTAAATCTCCTCTGAGTCTTTTGAAGCCACCAACATGTCATCTACATACAAAAGGAGGATATGTAGATGCCTTCCTTATTCTTTCTGAAATAAACACACTGATTGAACTTACTCCTGCTGA